TATATATATATATCGTTTTATTTTTAGTAAGCGTTTTACGGAACTTGCAAAACAATTAGGTCAAATAAGTGCCGCAGATTAGAGGTGTTACAAGAGAGTAACAGACAACAACAACAAAAAAAGGAGGAGATATAAGGACGATAGATGTCTGATAGGAAAGAAAGAGCAAACCACACCGGAACACCCATCAACCACTCACCTTCATGTATCGGCTAAAAGCTACAATCTTAGCACGATTCGACACGCCGTCTTTAAAAACAGACATGCTTGATTTTGAAAGTCACTGTCGCATTTAGATGAATTCGATCTCATTGTGAAGAAAAGGTAGATAGCTTTTGCCCATCCATGAAGCAAAATCGGGCTACACGAAACTAATAAACTTGTATTTTAAGATGACCTCACAACAGACAGTCAAGAAAATCATCAAATGCCACTCCGGGGAATAGTTGCTGAGTGGATAGGCATTGGGCAAAACTTGAAGAGCCGAATTTGCACACATGACTGCCCCCAACTCAAAAGATGCACCAAATTCCTTGAGTAAAAAAAAAATAATAAGTCACTATCTTTCGCCTACGAAAACAACACATCCTATTGAATTCCTACCTATACAAATATAGGGTCCGCAAGGATATCCCACATGACTGCCCGCTGTGTGACTGCCAGGATGAAACAGTATCACACCATCTCTTTTCCTGCCGTACACTTAGTGACCTGCGAACTCTTTAATTCACCAAATACTGCTCTTGTTTTTGTCTCAGAAATGTCTCTTGAACCCCGTTGGGGGGAAAGTTTGGGCCTAACTGGCCAAATGTGTCATCATCCTTCAGGATATAAATTAAAAATGTACACACATACGCATCTGATCTAAAATCTAGACGAAAACCACACAAACACCATTGCCTTTGTGAGACGACATTAAACTTAATGCCTTCTGTGTGAACAACATAAATAATTGAAGTTGCTAGAGGCAAAATAGTTTGGGGAACGTTGGAAAAGTGTGTCCAGAAGAAGAAGAAGAAGAAGAAGAAGAAGAAGAAGAAGAAGAAGAAGAAGAAGAAGAAGAGAGAAGAAGAAG